GATTTTGAATTTTGTTCTGCAAATTTTTTCCTCCCCTCTGTACACAACCTTCTGTTGTCCTCCTCAGAATGAATGGGAGTGGTGCTGAGCGTCATCTAGTTCTGATTTCAGAGTAATGAAGACTGGTTCACAGGCTCCACTAGTCTTTGGACTAATTGTTCCCTTAAGTGTTTTATTTTTCTTTACTCATCTTTCTAAATGAGGAGAGACCAGTAGCTCCATCTTAGATGGCCACACACAAGCTTTTAAGATTCCAGTCATCACCACTGGCTTGCCAAAGTAGGATGTGGGACATTTGTCTTTGTGGACTGTTAGGACAGTTGACGTAAACATGTTCCTTCACACTGTACTCTTTAAAGTCCCCAAGCCTTATGGGCCTAATGATAAGGAATTGTGCTGCCAATCCAAAGGCACCAGGTTTGAATCCACCAGCGACTCTGTGGAGCAAGATGGGCAATCTCATCCCATGAAATTTACAGATTCTGAAAACCCACTAGAGGTTCAACTATGAGTCAGTTTCTACTCAACAGCACAGAACAACAACAAATTTCATAACTCAAACCCTTAAACTGTGTGGTTATGGCTAAGAAGTTTTCAGAACTTTGTCCTCTCTATGTGCTACAGCATTGTTGGAATTATTTGCATCACATATAAATACATGTGTCCAGATATGGAGGTACTTCAAAGACATTTGTCCTCTCACATCTGTTCAACTTTCATGTCGACCCTATGTATTAATACTGTTTTTGAACTTTTCCAACTTATCCCAAATGATGTTTACATTTAATCTCTTATGCATTAAACATTTTCTTGAAGAGTTTCAACATGCAAGGCACTATATTCAATATACACAGTTGTAAACCTGTGTAACACAACTCTTGCCTTCAATAAGCTTAGTATCTTAACAGGAGGTCACCATGCATAAGTGAGTGATATCAACAGACATGATATACATGGGAAGAAGAAACCTGACAGAGTAGAGAGAAAAAGCATGTTATCTAGAGGTTTGAAGATACAATTTTTGAGAAATTAAAGATAAAGCATCTCAGAAAAAAACAGTGGCGCATGAATATTATGTTATAAACTTACATGCCGTCAAGTTGCCTGCAACTCCTAGTGACCCTATGTACAACAGCTCTGAACTCTGCTCTGTCCTAAGCCAACTTTATTGTCTCCGACACACCTATTGCCACTACCCCAGTCACTGAATCAATCCATCTTGTGGGCCTTCCTCTCTTGTGCTGTCCCTCCATCCTTCCAAGCATAATGTATTTCTCCTAAGACTGGTACCTTCTTGCAACATGCCCAGAGTATGTCAGGCAGAGCTTCAGAATTCTTGCCTCCAAGATGCTTTGGGCAGAATATTAAGTGATCCAGGAAGCATTAAAAGAAGATGGAGAGAGTATACAGAGTCATTGTACCAAAAGGAATTGGTAGACACAGAAGAATTTCATGAAACAATGTATGAGCAAGAGACTGTGGTGATAAAGGAAGAAGTTCAAGCTGTTCTGAAGGAATTGTCAAAAACCAAGGCCCCAGGAATTGATGACATACCAATTGACATATTTCAACAAACAGGCACTGGCCTGCATGTGCTCACAAAGTTGTGCCAAGAAATCTGGACGACAACCACCTGGCCTACTGACTGGAAGGGATCTACATAGTATACAATATGATTATATGATTATAAGTGGCCAAAGTGGATTCATTTATTCTCACTAATGCCTAGTATATCAGTATTCATGCGTTTCATTTCATTTTTAACAATTTCCAGTTTTCTAATATTCACGGTACATATGTATAGTTCATGTTCCAATTATTAAACTTTGTTTGTTACTGTTATTCCAACCAGGAGAACAAATGGATATGTCTTGGAGAGGGTGCAGCTGGAATGCTCTTTGGAGGCAAGAATGAGGAGATATATTGTAAATATGAAAGCCTGTAAAAAAAATTAAAAATTTAAAAAAATTCACCTCACATACTTTGGGCATGTTGCTAGGAGGGATTATTCTTTGGAGAAGGACATGATGCTGGGAAGGGTGGAGGGTTGGTGAAGGAGAGGAAGACTCTCAACCAGGTAGCTTGACATAGTAACTGCTGAAATTGGATCTTGTGTGTCAGGAAATCTGAGGATGGCGCAGGACAGGACAGGGTTCAGCTTTTTTGTTCATAGTTGTACTCGACTGAATGACACTTAACAACAGCAATAAGAAATACTGTTGAGTCAGAACTAACCTAGAGGGGACCGTCAAGGGGATTTCAGAAGCAGTAAATCTCAAAGGACGGGTGGATTTGAACCACACGCCTTAGGGTTGGAGGCACAGTTGCATAACTCCCTTCCACTAAACCACCATTGCTCTCTTGGTAAAGTTGAGGGTCAGTGAAGAAAATTAAGGACACTAACAAGTTGGATTGACACCAAGGTTACAACAATGGGCTCAGCTCCACAGTGGTTGTAGGCGAGAACAGGACCAGGGAGTGTTTTGTTCTGTTGCTAGGAGCCAGAACAGACTCCATTGCACCTAATAACAACAGCAATTTCTTGTTTATTGTGTCAGCAATGTAAACTGAGACAGTGAGTCACAGAACTTAGCAGAAGCTCTGTGGTCAGCATCTTCTCTCATCACAGCCTCAAGCAAAAATCTTCCTCTGACATTGGTACATTGGATTTGGACTTACATCCTCCTAAACAAAGAGATGGACAACAGCGTGAGAGACCAGAAGTGTGTAGTGCAAGGCATCACAGAAGTGACTGGGGTTCATATTGAGAGGTGGCTGCGGAAGGGAGGGTTTGATCAGGCAGCTGGGTGTGCAAAGAATGGGAAGGTAGCGGGGAAAGGTAGAGACAAGTCACATGTGCTTGGGGTGGGCGGGCAGTGAATGTATTGGTTATTTCTGTAAGGGAAATGTCTTTCACCTACCAAGGCTACTTGTCTATCAAATATTCTTCTAACAGTGAACATCCAAATTAAGACAAACTAGGAAGAAGGATTGGCTATTCACTTCTGAAATACTAGAAGAAAGATAATTCTAAATAAAATTCTAATATTAATCATGAAGTAACATGATAAAAAAATATTGCTCCTTATTGTGCTAATCTCCAATGAATCTAGCCCTTATTCAGCATCGACTACAGTTTGAATCCACTAGCTGCTCCTGAAAGACAATCTCCCCTCATGCAATTTACTGCCTCTGAAAGCCTTTTGGAAGGTCAGCTGTGGGTTGGTTCCGACTCTCCTGTAAACAACAACAAGAAAAACAACAACAAGAAACTCTGGTGGCGCAGTGGCAAGAAGCTTCATTGCAATCCCAGAGGTTCTTGGCTTGAATCCATCAGCTTTTCAGCAGGAGAAGGATGGACAATCTCCTTCCATGCAGTTAACTGCCTCTGAAAACCTGCTGGAGGGTCAGTGATGGGTCAGTTCTGACTCGATGGTACAGCAACAATACTTCAGCCAGGAGCTTCATTGCTGCTCCGGACAACTTTGCCAGGGCCACTTTTAATGCCATCTCCAAGAACTACAGCCAGACCTATGTAAAGAGACTGTGTTCACCAGGACTCCCTACCAGAAATTCATTGATCATCTTTTAAGGACTAACACCAGAGTCTCTGTGCAAAAGACTTGGGCTCTAGCTGTGTCCACCACACAGTGGTTTTTTAAGATAACAAAATAAAGTGAATTCAAAGTGCAGAAAACCAAAAAATAAAGTGAGTAGTCACACCTTGTCCTGTATTCTAACAGTCATTCATTCCTGCGTAGAGGATTTGGTCCTCTGTGGTGATTATTGCCGACACTTCCCTAAGGATCTGTCTGGGCTCTAAATTTGGATGTTTTCCATCAGCCTTACTCTCTTTGTGGAGCTTGCAAGAACTGAGTAAGTAATGCAACATGCTTGGTTATCAAAACACCTGAATGAGAGGAACAGCTGAAGCACATACTAACTTCCAAAAGTTTTTATATGTTCACCATGAAAGACTCAGCATGGAACCAGCCAGCCTGCTGCCACTGCCCCTTCTACTGCATTTTCTTGGTCAGTAACTCTTCCCCTAAATAACCATTGAGCATCATGTCTTCTATGGTCGGTTTTCCCAGTAGAGTGTTGACTCCAACAGTTGTCACTGCAGATTCAGAAACCCTGTTCCCCACCTTGCTGCTTACCCAGGAACTGGACGTGTCAAGAATATATGGTTTTTACAATCTTTGCCAGCCAGGCCTCTGCTCTGAGCCCTCAATCTGAGGCCCTAAGCTTAGGTCCCGAGGTGGGAGAAGACAAACCTCTCATTGATGTTTGGCAAGAAGGATTAGATGTTTGGGCAGATGGTAGTTTTCCACACTAGATGTGAAGCTGAGGCAATTTCAGGAAGAGTTCCTGCTAACCTCTCATCCTGGTCTTGTAAGTTGCTAAAATGATTAAGATTATAGGTAATGACTTAAGATGCCTTCAAAGCTTCCAGAAATGTCTTCAATTTCCTGATTCCCCCCCCTCCTCAAAAGCCAACAGTAGCTTCCCCTGACTTTCACTTCCCCAGCTCTTCTAATTGTAAGAAAATAAAGCTCCTCCCACTGGGCCAATTGTCAACATCATGACAGATGGAGAAGGCATTGAGATTGTCCACAATTCTATTTTCCTCAAATCCACAATCAACACTCTTGGCACCAGCAGTCAGGAATTCTAAAGACTGAATTTCTTTGGCTCAAGACAGGGCAGGGTTCAGAGCTATTGAACATAGGGGTCGCCTCTTTATTTCCTCTTAGAAATCAGACTGTTCTTGTTACTTTTGCCCATTTGCTCATTCTCTGATGTCCAGTAGGTTTGTTCCATTTTCCATGTAAGCCAGTGACAACTGAAATTTTAAATTTATAAGAAAACTTGAGTCTTGGTATTTTCTAGGCATTTTGTAAGAATTTCCTTGAGGTACTCTCCCTCTCTTAAAAAAACCCCAAAAACCAAACAAACAAAAAATAAAATGAAAGCACCATCAATTAAATGTTTTCATTTATTAGATGTGTTATTGTTGCCATTTTATCTTGCCTTATACCAGAATTGTGACAGAGGGCAATTAGTTTTTGAGACAATGAAGAAAGATAGGAAGGTTGCTTTATTTTACTCCAAGCTTGGCTTGAGGGAAAATTCACACATCCTTCCAGTTTATGAAACAGACAGCGAATCCTAATTAAGCTGGCCAGCAGAAGAAGATCTTCCCCACTCAGATATCGAAGGACTGGAATCTCTTCAGGCTTTGGTAGCTTTCCAGGAAAGAAAAAAGAAAAAAAAAGTCAGGAGTCAGTAAGCAAGATGGTGACCACAGGACTGGGTAAGTGGAGGAGCCACGTCACAGTGACATTTAGAAGGCAGACTCCCTGTGTAAAGTCCAGTCTGGCTAGCTGCAAACAAGGCTGTGGTATTAACCTCATCTACATGAGGAATGAAGTGCCATGGTGGGAACTTGAGAGAATAAAAGCAGATCAGCCCCAATGTGGAAGGGAATCTGAGTATCTTTGAAATCTTACAATTCCTTTAAGTAACTTAACTGGTACATACTGATGGAAAGGAATGGTGAATAGAGTTCTTTCCTTGAAAAATGCTCAGCTGGAGAGAAAGGGGAGCATGGGTTTTGTGGCTTTTTTGTTGGTGGTTTGGTTTTTGTGTGTGTGTTTTTTTTCTGGTTTTGTTTTGTGGTAAGTGCTGGACTGGAGCCTACGTGGCTGACTGGGAAGACAATGAGGGGACACTATTCTTCAGAGCAGGTAACACCTGAACTAGGTTTTCAAGAATGGGAAAGACTAAAATGGTCATCTTCCTAAAGTATATCCATCCTTACCTTCAGAAGACCATTCCAAAAGAACCTTCTTTGGTCTCTGCCATCCTACTTTCTCACAGTCTTTGTAGCTGCTGGAAAGTGGTTGACTCTGGACCGCTTTTCTGAGGTGTTTCCGTATACTGTATCATCAGACACAGCCTTGGAGGACCATTTACCTTACTGGTGTAGGCTAAATATGAACAGAACTACTCCTGCTTACCCGCAGAACACCTAAGGATTAATATATGACCTCTCTCTGCTTCCCCTCTGCTTCAGAGAATCACGAAGTTTGGTGGGTGGAAAGAGAGGGTGAAGAAATTAGGATAGATCTAATAGGGACTTTAAATGATGGGGTGAGAGTGGGCATAGATCAATGGTGATTGATTTTCTAGAACACAGTGTATGCACATGATCATATGAAACACAATGTGAAAGAGGGAATGTGTAAAACACAATGTACATGAATGAAGTACACTGTATATGAGTTTTGTATGCAAACCAATAAGAAATTTTTAAAAAAGAAGAAAAGATGAGAGAAAAATGGAGACAGACAAGATAGATGAACAACAAATAATAGAATTCCTTGACGTCCTCTTCAACTCCAAAGCCCGTAAAATGGCAAAAGACTTTTAAAGAGTTTACTTAAAGTTTAATTAAAGAGTTTAAAGAGTTAATTAAAGTTTAATTAAAGAGTTATAATACAAGAATGGTGTTTATCAGCAGAAGAAATTTTGAGGAATTACCGAAAATCAGAAAACAGATCAGGTCCATGTCTTTAGAATGTGAAACCATCAAATGAAACCACCACCCCCTAAACACACCCAAAATCAATAGAAACAAGATCCGGGAGAGGACACAAAGTAACAGTATAGCAAGAGTATAGTTAACAGCTTTCATTTCTTAACCACAAAGCTTCAAAATACATGAAGGAAAAAGTAATAGATATTGATAGAAGAAAATAGGAACATAATTCTATGTAGAGACCTTTCATACCTTTCTCATAATTGAAATAATTTAAAAACAAAGGCTATAGAAAGAGGTTATAAATAGAGTAATTAGACAAAAATAATTATGTGATGACTTTTTTTGTGTATATCAAATATCTGTGGAACATTAAAAAACTGATAACCAACTACAAAGATATCTATTCCAACAGAAAGGGGAGGGGAATGCAGGCCATTTTCTCTGAACATTTAGATGTTAACACAAAAAAGACAATCAAATTATTCTAACTGAAGAATTAAAATATGGAAATAATACATTATGTAGATTGAAAGAAACCAAGTACTATGTTTTGGAAAAGGTCTATATTTGTTCCCATCCCAAAGAAGGGTGACCCAACTGATTGTGGAAACTACAGAACAATAGCATTGATTTCACATGCAAGCAAGATTCTGCTGAAGATCATCCAAAAACTATTAGAACAGCACATCAGCAGAGAACTGCCGGAAGTCCAGGCTGGGTTTAGAAGGGGTCGTGGTACTAGGGATATTGTAGCTGATGTTAGATGGATCTTAGCTGAAAACAGAGAATACCAGAAGAATGTCTATCTGTGTTTCATTGCTTATGCAAAGGCATTTGACTGTGTGGATCATAACAAACTGTGGCTGACTCTGAGAAGAATGGGAATCCCAGAACATTTAATCGTGCTAATTCGAAACCTATACTTGGACCAAGAGGCAGTCGTCAGAACAGAGCAGGGCAACACTGCATGGTTCAAAATTGGGAAGTGTGTACGTCAGGGATGTGTCCTATCTCCATACTTTTTCAACCTGTATGCAGAGCAGATTACTGAGAGGCTGGGCTCTATGAGGAGACGCGTGGCGTTAGGACTGGTGGACGATCTATCAACAATCTGCGTCATGCAGATGACACAACCTTGCTCGCTGAAACTGAGGAGGACCTCATGCACTTACTGCAGAGAGTCAAGGACTGCAGCCTTCAGTATGGACTGAGGCTCAATGTCAAGAAGACAAAGATTCTCACCACTGGACCAATCGGTAGCATCAGGATGGATGGATGGATGGATTGTTCACAGCTTCAGTTTGCTCGGCTCCACAGTCAACACTCTCGGCACCAGCAGCCAGAAAATCAAAAAACGTATTGTGATGGGAAAGTCTGCGTTTAGGGACCTCTCTAAAGTACTCAAGAGCCACAGTGTCTCTCTGGAGACGAAGGTGCGCCTGATAACAGGCCATGGTCTTTGCAATCACTTGTTATGCATCAGAGAGCTGGACAATGAATTGATACCTTTGAGCTGTGGTGCTGGAGAAGAGTATTGAATGTACCATGGACTGCCAAGAAAACAAACAGATTCATCCTAGAGAGTGTTAAACCAGGCTACTCCTTGGAGGCAAAGATTCTGGGGCTTCGTCTGACAGCCTTTGGACATGTTGCAAGGAGAGACAGGTCTTTGGAGAGGGACATCATGCTGGGTAGAGTAGAGGGACAGCGCAGGAGGGGAAGACTCTCTATGAGGTGGATTGATTCAGTGACTGGGGTAATCGGGATGGGTGTGTCAGAGGCAATGCAATTGGCACAGAATAGAGCAGGGTTTAGGGCTGCTCTACATAGGGTCGCTATGAGTCGCAAACGACTCGACGGCACATAACAACAACAACAACAACAAGTGATTTAAAGGACCCTCTAAGTAACACATTTGAAGGTATTGAGGGAGTAGCCATGTGCTCAATAAGAACAGCAAGGAATAGGTCTCAATGTTTTAGAAACATTGAAGAGACCAGTGTGGATAGAGCATGTTGAGTGAGAGAAAAATAATAAAGAGAAACTGTTAAAAGGAGATCCAAACCATGCATGGCACTACAGGCCTTTTAGAGAATTTTACTCGGGGCTGGGGGGAGGGGGGAAGTGCATTTTTCAGTACAGTATTGGGTTAGAATAGACTAGGACCCTGGATGAGCAGATTTAGGGAGAGTCACACAGAGATCTCTAATGATTCTAGCAGTAACTAGACTGGGTCCAATAAAGGAATCAAAAAGTCATGGTTTTGAAAAGAAGTTAGTACATTCTGAGTATGCTAATAGAATTCTTCAGAGTCTACACTTTCTCTCACACACGGACCCCACCCCCCCCAAGGTGGGGGAGGGGGGAGAGAGAAAGAAAGAGAGAGAGGAGAGAGAGAGAGAGAGAGCCATATCTATGTGGTTTTAGCTACTATTACATCATTTACTGAGTAAATTCACTGTGAATGCTTTGCATTCTCACTAAAATGTCAAGACAATCAAAAAGGTTTGTTATAGATTATATATAGCTCTATTTTCTAGATGACGAAAGTGAAGCTCAAGTTCATTCAGTTAGCGAAGTGACAGAACTGAAGTCCATGTAGATTACTACCATGCAGTACTACAGTTGAGTACTCTGAACCATCCCCCATGCTGGAATTCATATAAAGGCACTGGTAGGACAGAAATTGTGGCCTCTAAGAGATCGTTATCCAGAGGAAAAGTCAGCCAAAATGTTAACTACAGTAGCTCAGTCCACAAGTGCAAGGAGATGAATACATGGAAAGCTCAGACAAGGGCACGGCCCAGCCAAACTGGGCAAAGGACGCAGAGATCTACGAAGACTCTTTAAGGCGATAGGGTTTATCTTTCGTCTTGACTATTGAACTCTAGGTCTCTTGATTCAGTCCAGGCCTTTCTATTTTAAGATGGAGAAAAACAAACAGTTCAAGATGCCAGAACCAAACCTCCAGAGCAGCACTACATATCGCAGAGCTAACACACAAGAGATGTGTTCCAAATTCGAACTCAAAGGGATTCCTGAGGAGGAAGGGACAAAATACTAAGCAGACCACTTCTTTCATAAGAAACTTACTAGATATTTTCCCACTGAATTCCAAAGTCTTTAGGGGTTAGTTGAGTGTTCTCAAGTATAATCTATCCATAATAACACAACTAAAACGACTGTGCTCAAAAAACCCCCCACAAAACCCAAAAACAAAACCCACAAAAACAAACAAAACCCAAAAACTACTGCCCTCATATTTTTCTAAAGACTTTAATTATCCTTAAAAATGTACTTACCTTCACTTTGGTTCCAACACTAATTTTTGCTTGTTGTCCCATTGCTAGAAAACGGATGAAAATTTTGTCTTGTTCTAAGATTCGAACTCCAACATAGTGGTTCAAAGCCAGAAAGACTGGTTTAAATATAACAAAGGGTGTAGAAGCAACAGAGCTTGACCAATTCCAAGTCCTTATTCTGTTGCCTGCTTGATCTAAACATTGACCTCCTAAGATATTGATGCAGACCCTGGGCAAAAAGTAAATGGAAAAGTCATATGTAGCAAGACTGCATTTTAACCCTAGTATTGGTCTATCACTTGCTAGTGGAGGAAAAGTCATGCTAGCCAACAGTACATGACTGGTGGAGAAACGCAGACAATCTTAGCAGTAATAATATTGTTATTGTTGTTGTTATATGCTGTCAAGTTGCTTGCGACTCATAGCAACCCAATGATAAACAGCTCTGAACTCTGCTCTATCCTGAGCCAACCCTATCGTCTCTGACACATTCATCCCCGTTACCCTAGTCACTGAGTCAATCTATCTCATCTAGGGTCTTCCTATTTTGTGCTCTCTCTTGATCTCCCCAAGCATGATGACCCTCACCATGAACTCAGCCCTCCACTCTTCTGAGCATGGTGTCTTTCTCCAAGGATTGGTGCCTCCTGGCCACGTGCTCAAAATATGAGAGACAGAGCTTCAAAGTCCTAGCCTCAGGGAGAAACTTAGTTTCACCTCACCAAGATGGACCTATTTGTTTTCTTGGTGGTCCAGGTTATGTTTAAGACTCTTCTCTAGCCCCACAACTGAAAGGCACCGATTCTTCTTCTGTCATCCTTAGTCATTGTCCAGCTCTCTGATGCATAGCAAGTAATAGCAAAGACCCTCAACTGGATCAGGTGAATGTTAGTCTCCAGACTGACATCGTTGCTTCTAAGTAGTCTGGAGAGGTCCCTGACAGCAGATTTACCTGATTGTTATCTTTAAAAAAAAACAGATCGCAGGTCCTTTCTTCTGTGATGCTGAGGAATGGGTTTAAATCTTCAACATTTAGGTTAGTAGTTGGGCAAGAAACCATTTGTAACCCTCAAGCACCTAACTCATAGTGAGTGACCTTGGAGGCAGAGGAAAGCTGCTGTAAAGTTTTGCCAGCCTGTATGTAAATCTTGATGGAAGCAAATGGCCTTATTTTTTCCTCCTGGAGTGAATGATGGGTTCAAATGGCTGATCTTTTAGTGAGTAGTTGAGAGCTTTAACCATGATCTCACTGATACTTCTGTAAAATGAAGACCAGTGGGCGTGAATGTTGGGGACAGCAGAAGGAGCCTCCATACAACATGGCCAATCTCCTCCAGTGTATTTTACTGCCTCTAAAAACCCACTGCAAGGTCAGCTATCGGTTGATTCTGACTTGCTGGTATACAACAACAACAATCTTATTGGGGAAATTTTGTTTTTATCTTAAAATTTAGGTGAAAATAATAAGCTAAAATTATCTAGATTAAATCAGTCCTTTGCTCTCTAGTTAAGAACAGGCTTCTATCCCGCTGACTCTGTCTTAATAAAATATCTCACTTTTTAAGGTTTTCATTATTGTTGTCCTAGATCAGCAGTTTCTTTATAAACCTGACTTTTACTTATTTTTGCACATGAGAATGATAACATTAGCAAATTACACACTGTTAACTTGCTACATGATACGTAATAATAGCAATTGTTATCGTATGTGCCTTTGAATTGACTGTGACTCATAGCGAGCCTAGGAACAACATATCCAAACCCTGTCCTGTACTGTTGTGAGGCTATCTTCACCGTCTCTGACACACTTGAGCACATTGTTACAGTTCTGTGATACTCGATTTTGTTGATGGTCTTCCACCTTTCCAAGTATGATCTCCTTTTCTAAGGACTTGTCCCTCTTAACAATATGCAGAAAACTCACCACCCAAGAAAATCTCTAGATAGTTCTCAGTGCAGTGCCCTGAAACACTAATATGCCAGAACCAGATGACTTATTTGCATTTAATAAACATTCTTTGAGTCTAGTAGTGAAGAGTCAAAAATATGCCCTCAAGAACTTGAGTCCAGCAGTAGAGACAGACTTGCTATATCAAAAGTACACAGAAGGTTCTATGAGAGTGTCAAGAAGGTCATGTCAGAGTGCCCAGGAATTCTGCTGGTAAATGGAAGGAGATTAATGAAAGAAGGAAGTTTCCTACGAATCAATCACTATCTGATGACAATTAAGATAATGCTTTGGTAAATAAAATTATTTTGGTTGCTACAGTGTTGATTCTGACTCCTGGCAATTATATGTACCCTATATATGATCAGGTATAGTGGAATTGTTATTGAGTCTCGAGAGTAAGTTGATATTTAAAAATATACCTGCTGTTAATAAATTGACCAAGAAGCCTATTGGTTAGGACTAAAAAACCACAAACGTGCCACTGAATTTCAAGTTTGTCAATTATATTGGCAGTATTCAAAGTTTGTAGATTATTGGCAATTTCTCAAGATGAGATTGTTATGCCTAAAAATATCTTGAAGGGAGAGATTATTTCCAAAAAGCTTGAAAAGCTTAAATCATGTGTGAAGGTAGAATCTGAATTTCGTTTTGCCAGATGTAACAAAATATGAATTAATGAAGTTTATATTTACATAAATGCAACGAGGATCTTAAGGTTTTAGTAGATTTTGTTTGTATGTTGTCATTATTGAATTTAGCCACAGGAAGCTTCCTTACCCACTGCATCCAGACAGCATCAACTGTAGATTGTAAACTGCACTGGAGGAGATTCCCTGCTTTTCCTCCTCAGAGCCATCAGTGATTGTGAACCCATCAGAGAGGGTCAGTCTTCCAGTTAGTAGTGACACTCCGTGGACTATGTCACCAGAGCTTCCTGGAAGCTTATTAGTTAGTACACGTTGTTGAGTTCTCTGATTCCGATCTGGCCTACAGCTGACCCTCAGGTGGGTTTCCAGAGGTAGTTAGTTGCACAGGAGGAGATTGCCTGTCCTTCTCCCATGGAACAGCTGCTACGAATGGTGTGCCTTCTGGACTGCAGCACAGCTACTTGCTACTATCTAAAATTTTAAAAAAAAAATCTATTCTTTCCATTGGCAAAATTATTGCTCTAGATGAGGTTGGTTGTTGTATGTTTTGTTGTGAGCTGTTGAGTCAGACGTGACTCATACCGACTCCATCAGGTATTCTGAAGCAGTAAATTGTACAGGAGGAGATTGTCCATCCTTCCCCCAGAGCAGCTTGATAGATTTGAATCAAGTGCCTTTGGGATAGCAGTGCAGCTTCTTACCATTAGGCCACCAGAAATCCCTTCCTATAGATAGGGTTGTTGTTGTTGTTGTTGTTGTTGTTGTTGTTAAGTGCCGTCGAATCGCAGGCGACTCATAGTGACCCTGTAAAGGAGAGTCCTCAACGCTTGGGTGCCTCTCATCCTCTCTCCAGGTTCATAGGGTTTCAGGAGCAAGCTACTCCTGCTTCTAAGCTTGTTCTAATCGGGGAGTTTCACCCAACACTGTCCGCCATGGGTAACCAACCATTAATGCATTTGACACATTATTAGAACACTGACTTTCATAATGACAAACTGTATAGATTCAGATCCCAAATCCATAAGTGGACAGTATTATTTATCTAGAGGGGTTTTCCATTCTGAATCACATTTGTGATACAGAAATAAGGTGGCAAGAAAAATATAATGAGCTTTACTTTTTTTAAAAAAAATTGGATTTGGAGTTTTTTATCTGAGAAGCATAAAGGATTACAAGATTTCTTTAATTGGATCCAGGCTGAAAGTAAAAAAATACCAGAAAAATGTCTATTTTTTATTGTCTATGCGAATGCATTTGACTGTGTGGATCAAAACAAATTATGGCTAACACTGAGGAGAATGGAAATCCCAAAATACTTAATTGTGCTCATGTGAAACCAATACCTAGACAAAGAGGCAGTTGAGTGAAGACAGCAAGGGAACACTGCATGTTTTAAAATGAAGAAAACTAATGTGAATGAAGGAAGCTCTTATGAATAGTAGTAAGAAGCTGTGCTGCAATCACAAAGGCACCCAGTTAAAAGCTATCCTGTTCCTTGGGAGCAAGAAGTGCAACCTTCTCCTGTGTGATCAACTACCTCTGAAAACCTGCCAAAGGGTTGGTTCTGACTTGAAGGTACACAACAACAGCAATGTGAATGAAGGAATGTGTGAAACAAAATGTATATGAATGAACTACAATGTATACATATTTTGTATGCAAACCAATATAAAGTAAAAATAAATTTAAAAAAACAAGAAAGAAGTGTGTTAGGGCTGTATTATTTCTCCATATCTATTCAATCTGTGTGCTGAGCAAATTACTCAAGAAGCTGGACTCTGAAGAAAAATGTGGCATCAAGATCAGAGGAAGACTTATCAGTATTCTGTGTTATGCAGATTACACAACGTTGCTTGCTAAAAGTGAAGAGGACTTGAAGCAATTGTTACAGAAGATCAAAGAACACAGCCTTAAATATGGATTGTATCTAACTAAACATCAAGAAAAAAATTCTTATCACTCAATTTATAGGCAACATTAAGATGGATGGAGAAAAGATTGAAGTTGTCAATAATTTCATCATCCTTGGACCCACAATCAATATTCTTGGTAGTCAGGAAATTGGATGTCTTGCATTGGGAAAGTCCGTAAACCTCTACAAATTAATGAGGAGCAACGACGTCAGTTTGAGGTCAGACCTCTCTAAATTATTGAGAAGCAATGATGTCAATCTGAGGACTAAGGGACCATGGTCTTTCTGATCACTTGCTATGCATTTGAGAACTGGACAATGAATAAGAATGATGGAAAAATTATTGGTGTGTATGAGCTATGGTGTTGGAGAAGAGCACTGAATATCTCACAGACTACTAAAAGAAGAAAACAAACCTCAAATATGTCTTGGATGCTCTTTGGAGACAAAGATAGTACTTTGGGCATGTTGCTAAGAGAGACCATTCCTTGGAGAGGGATATCATGCTTGGAAAAGTGGAGGGCTGGTGAGAGAGAGGAAGACACTCAACTAGGTTGATCGACAAAGTGACTGCAGCAATGGGCTCAAGTATGTCAGGAAGTGTGAGAATGGCACAGGATAAGTCAGGGTTTGTATCTGTTGTTCGTATTCAACTCAATGACACTTAACAACATCTGAAAACCATTACCTACAACTTTCTTAAAGCATTGTTATTTTTAACCACTAAAAGGAAAAAGAAATTACACATTCACACAAAAATGAACTCCAACACAAAGTCCCCAGAAGAGAAGGAAGTCATAAGCCTACCAGATATTTCCATTAGGGTGATAGCAGGAAATTCTGCCAGAGGAATCCAGCAGTGCCAGGATGGCGGGTTTGGTGATACTGTCTTCTTGGATTATACAGGTGAAGCCCTTGACCTTGTTGGGCACTCGGATAATGGCTAGGTTTCCAGATGGATAGCTGAGATCAGATAAGGTCATCTGAATTGTTCTATAGGCCATTGATGATACCAAGAATAAATTCAACTTATGAAAAAGCCCAAAGAAACTGTAAAAGATTATGAAAATTGGTGATACATTTTAATTCCAAAAGGATTTTAAATGTTTTATGTGCATCAGGAGTGTTGGTAGGACAGTAGTTACAGAGTGTTGAGCTGCTAAGAAAAGATTAATGTCTTAAGCCCACCTATGGCTCTGACATTGTGAGGGAGAAAGATGGGGCTGACTGCTTCTGTAGGGATTCACAGACTTGGAAACCCTCTGGGATCATCCTAGTCTATCGTACAGGGCCACTGTGCCTCAGATTTCACTTGGTAACAAATGGGTTTGGGTTTGATGGGTTTTTTGTCTTTTTTAGTTATGTGAATAAAAATATATTTGAGATGCTAATTACAAGCATATTACAAGCAAACTGGACCTAAGAATATTGTAAAAGGCAATATACCATGGAACTGAGTTAAACCATGCAATCTCCATTTAACATTTGAATATCTGTGTGATACACCATATTGACTGGATATAGGATGAGACCCACAGGATCATCTCCACTTGTGTAGAAAAGGCATTTGGCAAAATACATTATGTTTTCATACTAAGAACGGTTAATTGGAACTGGAAGGGAACTTTCTCCACCTGGGAAAGGGCAGCTATGAAAATGACACAATTAATATTTTTAAAAAATATTTTTTCCTTAAGGTCCACAGCTATCAAGTCAATTCTGACTCATACTGACTCTATCACATGATGGAGTAAAACTGCCCTTTACAGTTTTCCAAGAGTGTAAGCCTACTGTAGAAACAGATTGCTTACTTTTTCTTCAATAGAGCGGATTTTAACTGAAAATCTTTGGATTAGCAGCCCAATACTTAATCCAGTACACCACTAAAGCCAAGAACTGAATAAAAAATGTCCATTCTTACCACTTCTCTTCAAACTTATTTGGATGTTCTAGTTAGGGCTATTTATTAAACAAGGAAAATTAGAACAAGGCATCCACATGAGAAAATGAAAATTTCTGTTTGCAGATGACATCTCTTGGGTGAATTGAAAATACTAAGGAGTCCATAAAACAATACCTTAGAACTAATGAGCAAGCTTGGACACAGAATGAATATAAAAATATTTTTTTACATATACTATCAATGAAAATTCAGAAAATGAAAGTTTAAAAATGTCATTTGTAATAGTATTAAAAAGAACAAAATATGTTGAAGATGATTCACAATCTCAGTTAATATTCAATCCATAGTGAAACTGATCAGAAGCACTGAAATAAGTAAAAACAGATGGATCAGAAATAACATGAAACAAAAATTAAGCACAATCTTCAAGGCAGTTAAGAAAAATTAAAACCAAGTCATGAAAAACTAACTAATAATAAAAACGAGGCTGCTGCTGTGATGTGCTGTTGAGTAGACTACAACTCACAGTGACTCTATGAACAATGAATCTGAACCTTGCTCTAACCTGAGCAATCTCACCATCTCTGACACACCTGACCTCATTACCTCAGGCACTGAGTCAATCTATCTCCTGCATAGTCTTTCTTTACTACACTGTCTCTCCACTCTCCCAACTATGATGTCCCTCTCCAAGAACTGGTCCCTCTTTGCAATATGCCCAAAGTATGTCAGATGGAGCCTCCAAGGAGCAGCCTGGTTTCATCATCTCTAGGACAAACATGTTTGTTCTTCTAGCAGCCCATGGTATATTCAGTACTCTTCTCCAGCAACACATCTCAAAGGCATCAATTCTCCTTATTCATTGTCCAGCTTTCTGATGCATAGCAAGTAATTGTAAAGATCATGGCCTGGATCAGGTGCACCTTAATCTCCAGACTGGCATCGTTGCTCTTCACTACTTTGGAGAGGTCCCTGAAAGCAGACTTCCTCAACGCAATTCATCTTTTGATTTCCTTGTTGCTGGTATCAAGAGTATTGGTTGTGCAGCCAAGCAAACTAAAGCTGTTAACAATCTTAATCTCTTCATCTATCATGATACTGCCAATCAGCCCAGTGGTGAGAATCTTTGTTTTCTTGATGTTGAGCTTCAATCCATATTGAAGGCTTCAGTCCTTGATCTTCCGCAGGAGGCTCTTCCTCCGTTTCAGCAAGCAGGGTTTTGTCATCTGCATAACACAGACTGTTGACAATTCTTCCTCCAATATTAATGATATTGTTCAATAATTTCCACACTCTGTAAAGTCAACTTTCTTTGGAATGGGAACAAATATGGATCTCTTCCAGTCATTTGGCTAGGTGGTTGTACTCCAGATTTCTTGGCACAACTCGGTGAGTGCATCCAGGGAAGCGTCTATTTGTTGAAATACGTCAATTGGTATTCCATCAAATCCTGGGGTCTCGTTTTTTTGCCAATTCCTTCAGAGCAGCTTGAACTTCATTACCACAGGCTCTTGTTCATACGTTGTTTCATTACATTCTTGAGTGTCAGCCAATTCCTTTTTGGTACAGTGGCTCTGTACACTCCTTCCATCTTTTAATGCTTCCTGAATAATTTAATATTCTGCTCAAAGCATCTTTAAGTATTGCAACTTGAGATTTGAATTTGTTCTTCAATTCTTTAAGCTTAAGAAATGCTGAGCCAGTTCAGTGCTTTTAATTTTCTGATTCCAGCTCTTTGCACATTTCATTATACTACTTTACTTTGTTTTCCTAAGCTGCCATTTGGAATCTTCTGTTCAGCTCCTTAATGTCTTGATTTCTTCCCTTTGCTTTGGCTTCTCAGCACTGTAGTGCAATATTCGTAGTCTCATAGGATGTCCATATTGGTCTTTTCTTCTTTCTCTGTCTCTGTAATGACCTTTTGTGTTCTTCATGGATGACGTTCTTGATATCTTCCCACACCTTATCTGGTTTTCGCTCATTTGTATATGCAAGACCTCAAATCTGTTCCTGAGATAGTTTTAAATTTCATCTGAGATAGACTCATGGCCAAATTTTGATTCCTGTGAATTTGATTTAACCTTCTTTAGCTTGAACTTGAACTTGCATATGGATAGCTCGTGATCTGTTCCACAATTAGTACCTGGCCTAGTTTTCACAGCTGATTTTGAGCTTCTCTAGTGACTCTTTACACAGATGTAATTTATCTGATTCCTATGCATACCATATCAAAGGAAATCCATATGTAGAGTCTGTTTTTATGTTTCTTATAAAAATATTTCCAATGAACAAATCATTGACTGTACAGAATTGTCATTCTATCTCCGGCCTCATTTTTGTCACCAAGTCCATGTTTTCTGACTACTGATCCTTCTCTTCCCTGTTCCCAACTTTTGCATTCCAGTCACTGATGGTGTATTTCTATATTTATTACTTGTTAAATAGTGTAACATTATTTATTCTGGGGTTGCATTATGGACGCCAATCTGAGTGTTCTCAACTTGGTTAATGTGAAGAAAGGGGAGAAGGATATCCTAAGACTGACTGATACTACTGTGCCTTGTAACTTGAGGCCCAAAAGAGCCCGCAGAATTTGCAAACTCTTCAGTATTTCTAAGGAAGATGATGTCTGTCACTAAATTGTGAGAAAGCCACTGAACAAAGAAAGTAAGAAACCCAGGACCAAAGCGCCCAAGATCCAGCATCTTGTTACTCCACGTGTCCTGCAGCACAAGCATGAGTGCATTTCACTGAAGAAATAGCGCACTAAAAAGAATAAGGAGGAGGCTACAGAGGACGCTAAGCTTTTGGCCAAGAGACTGAAGAGGCCAAAGAAAAACGCCAGGAGCAGAATGTCAAGAGACGGAGGCTGTCCTCTTTGAGAGCTTCTACCTCCAAATCTGAATCCACCATGCCATCAGGTAAAATCCAGGTGTATAGTCTGAATTTATGTTTCTTATAAAAATATTTTCAACTAATAATCATTGATTGTACAGAATTCTGTCATTCTATCTCCCGTCGCATTTTCGTCACCAAGTCCATGTTTTCAGACGACTGATCCTTCTTTCCAGTTCTCAACTTTTGCATTCCAGTCACTCATGGTATATTTATTGCATGTTAAATCGTTATAACATTCTTTATTGTATCATATGTAGTGAAGATGAAACCATTTTGCATAATTATTTGAAGAAATGATTTAAAAGCACTATACATATGATCAGAGAGAGAAATAAGGGAAGATGTTAAAATTCTTTTTTGGTCACACAATTTGATGGCTAAGAGGGAAAAGTGAGTAAAATAAATGGGAAAGATCCGGTTTGGAAAACAATGTAAGTAAACCAGTATAAAAGAAAGATTTCATTTAAAAAAGCATTCTTTTTTGGGTGTGGAAGGTTCTATGTTTTTCTTTATGTGTCCCTGTCTTGTATTTTTTTTTACCTTTCTTTTTGTGAAGCAAAAAATACGTAGAAATAAAGGATACAATATTTGTGTGGATCCATCAGGAAATGACGTCAGAAACTTGCTCCCGTGTTTGTAGTTCTTCTCTAAGAGCTCGTTTTCCATGAGAGTCTAGACACGGTGGGAACAAAGGGAGACTCAGCTGTTAATGGTTTCCGATACAAGACATTAATGGCAACGGAAATCTGAGTGCTAGGGAGTGATGGGAAGGGCTCTTCATTTACTATGTTGGCCATGCTTCGGAGACAGGAAGACCATTTACAAATTGTGAAGATTGCCCCAACCTCTGCAGCAAAACTTGACACAGCTTTCCTGGTAGAAAATAACATCACATTCTATTTGAACTTTCCC